TTTTTTATAAGCATTATTAAATTACTTATAATTTGACAACTAAACGTAAATGTGTTGCAGTTAATAAAAACATAAAGAAAACGTTGCCTACATCTGGGCACATTTTAAGATTTCACCACAGACGCGCACCATTATTTTGTATATTTTATTTTATTGTATACACTTAGTCTTGCCATAAATTTGCAATGCATAGAACGCGACAAAATTTGCAAATAAAAGTGCCGTTATTTTTAATTATAATTTGTGTGCGATGTCCACTCATATTTAATAATCAACACAATGTTTGATTTCGCTTGTAGCCAATGGAGTAGGGAGTAAAAGAAAATTGTATTGCGCTGATTGGTTTACATAAGTATGAAAAAGCACATGTGAAAGTTATGACCTTTTCAAAAAACTTAATATTTCGAGAATGTTTACATATCGCACTATTGATCGTTTTTTTAAACGTTTACAGTTGATGACAGAAAAAGAAGGAGTCGTCATCAAGTTGTTTGAAAGAATTCAGCCATAAAAACTGTACGCGAACACATTCGCAGAAATCCCCTTAGAAAATAGAAAATTATGTCAAGATAAATGAATATATCGACTTGATATATCTTGATATTGATCAAGACATATTCAGAATGATCTTCACATGAAAGCCTACCATCAGTTCTCGTCTGACAACGCGGTTGAAGCAAGTGCAAGCGACATCTTTAGTGGCACGCGGCCAACATATAATATACGAAAGTATCCTTTTTACAGAAGAAACAATTTCACTTGTTTCAGGTTAATATTCAATACGACAAAATCTACGCAAAAACTTCGAAAAGAGCAAAAAAAAATGTATTTCATCGGTTCAACGTGGTCCATTCAGCTGCTGTAATGGTTTGGTGGGACACTTCCGCAAAAAATATCAAAGAAATTATAGTTTTGGTAAATTAACTTCGTTCAAGGTATAATTATTGGGCAGAGCACCGTCAATGTAGGACTTTCTAACTAATTATAAGGATACAAAATTTTCAGAACTTTCTTAAATAAGTTCTTAACATCATTTTAATTATCTCTTTCGAAATGTTGCTATGAAGGGAAAAAGTATATGCGATATACGATGGTCCCCTTTCCAATTTTTACATGGATTTCTAAAAGCCGCTAAACACCACTTTGGCTACAAAATATAATGTGCGCTTTTAGTAGCTTTCAACATAGCCGTTATACTCATATGGTGTGTGTGTCGTGGTTACCATGTGATATCCTCCATCTTCACACAGCCTGAATCCCTAAGTATTTGTCCTCAGCAAATTTTAAATGATGATAATATTATTATTATAATATTAATATGATATTTTCTATATTACAAATTTTTTTCCAACTAATCTCTAAGAACCAATTTTTTGTTTAATTACCATACCAAACTCCATCAAATTTAAGCATCCACATGACATACAGCTACAAAATTAGTTAAGCATATAATTTATCGGTTATTCAGAATCGCTGCCTGGTGATGCATTTTGAGGTCTGGTTCTCATAATTATCATTTATTTACTCGTATATGCGCTAAAATAATTAATGTTGTGTAAAAGTCAATCAGCTGGCAGTTAATAGAAAAGTTGGAAACCGCCGAATGTGAGAGAAATTTGCCTATAAACAGCTAGATAATTAAAACATAGAAGTATTTTTTAATTAATACTGTTCCACGTCATTGGTGACACGAAACTATGCAACAACAAAAATTGCTTTTGTAACTGACATATTTTATAATTTTAATAATATGGCATAAGAGCGATCTTCCGTGAATATGATAAAATTATAAATTTAATAATTTGACTATTCACGAGAGACATTTATGTTTGTCACAACATTTGCATGTCGCCATAAAAACTGGCAATATTGATACAGACACACTTATTTACACAAAAAGTTAATAAGCGAGCCATCAACAGATTGCTTGTTATTAGAGGGTGTGTGCGGAAATACAAAACAACGAATTCTAATCACGTACTCGTACATAGTTCCAAAATGATGTAATAAGTTGCATAGACTTGTAAATGTAGGTGTGTGCGGAGATTCCCTGTAGGGATTTGAATGAAACGTGACAGATAGTAAGTGGTTAAGTGGAAACTTACTGCGTAGACGCTGAAAGTCTAAATTACAAGACGAAGTCTTTTTAACTTCACCTTTTCCTTTTTAGAACTTAATTTCGAGACGAAGGAGGCGAAGTCTAAATAGGCAATAAAAATGCATATTAGTTTTGTGTTATACAAAATAAGATAACCTTAATAATAAATATTAGGAAATTTTCGTCGGTAACCTGCCTCGAAAGCAAGCATATTTCGCTGAGCTTTATATTCTAATTAAAGTGACTAAAATATATAAATCAACTCACACCTATTTGCACTTTTCATACCTTACTTTTGTCGCAGGGTACTATTGTGTATATACACGCGCCTTAGCTCTGACGAGACAGCCGCCTACCCAGCAATTTGGAAAAATGTCAACTATATTCTTTACTTAACTTATTTTATTCCAGCCACCCCCCTAATTCTTTTGAATTTATAATTATTTTTTGTTTGACAGTTTCCGGTTGTCGTCATAAGATTTTTGGAGATTTTTATTTATTGCTTTTTTGTGATGTATCTACCATACACAATGACGACACCCACTCACTCAAACCTTTTTGAGACAAGTAACACATTCATCATATATCTACTTATGCGGAACATTTTAAGTATGTAACTTGATGCTGCTATTCCAATGGCTATGGCAAACACTTCAAACTTTCCATGAAGGCAACTGTACGCACTACATCAAAATATGTACATATGTATAATAATTTAAGCACAAGTGTGCATTTAGGGAATTTAATAAGCTTTTGAAAAATGGAGAAAACTTTTTAAATTGCTTTTTGGTTCAATACGACTTCGAATACAAAGCCTGTACTGAATAGATTCATTAACCTTTGAAATGTGGTCAGATAAGCGCGGTCGAGAAAAAAAGTGTTACACACTACTTAAATTTTTACGTAGAGCTAAACATCAATTTTGTGTTGTTTATGAAGATATCCCTAAAAATAATATAAAAAATAGTTTGATTTTACTGCAGTAAAAGTTGAACTCAAAGTTGACATTGGGTTTTGACATTTCACTTGGACATAAAAAATGTCATATTGCACTTAGAGTTTCATAAACACTATAATTTGATGGCTTGTCATAAAAAATAGAGTTTATGACGCAACGTAGACAAACGTTACCGTAAATCAGCAATCATATTCCCTTAAGAAGACTTTTACTCAGAAAAAATACACAGCAAAGAACTTTACTGAAGCTTTCAAAACTTTTTTCGGATAAAATCACAGCATATTAAAATTCAAAATTTGTGTAATAATAATGCATATAATAATATGTACCAAGTAGTTGTACTGCTTAATCGACTAATTACCCTTGGCAAAGCAAAAGCAAAAGTATTATTCTAAGTTAAAACCGGAGTCTATGATTTGAAAGTAAATTATAAATGAAGAGTTTTCAAAAATATAAGTTTCAAAGGATCCTACCAGGGTTGCCTATTATATTTCAGGATTAGAGAAAAAAAAAAACAAATACTAAGCTTCGAAAATCGCTTCATTGTTTTACAAATTATTCTCCACTAAGATCTATACACTTTTGCATGCGTTTGAACCAATTGTCGAAACACTTTTGTCACTCTGATTAAGGTGTCTTCAAAACATGCGTTCTGAACGCTACAATCTTCAAATGTCGAAAAACATTGACGATTGACAAATTCCCAAAATTTCGTTATTGAGGGATTTACGAACTCGATTGAATTCAGCATACCATTGTTGGACACTGGTTCTTCATCACCAAAAATTTAATTAAGTTCATCGATGCACTGTTGCTGAGTTAATCCACATCGAAAGTTGTAAAAAATAATTGCGCGAAAATGTTCGCGATTTAATTTCATTTTTTGGCCGAGATGAATATTTTATGTTACTGTAAACCACACAAATAGGGCACGTACTCGTAAATCAAAATGTTCTGAATATGTATGACATCAAAAAAGTCAAACTTTACTATAATGTTGTGAGTTGCCAGATTGCAATACTAGGGTTACCAAATTCCGAAATATAAGAGACAACCTACGTACAATACATTTAAAAAATTAATTACTTAAAGTACTTTCTAGCATCCACGTAGACAACCGAAAACAGACTTAAAAACTTTCTGTAAAGTGCGGATGTTAGAAAAACGTAAAAAAGTAATATCGGACGGTGATTCCATTTTCGTATTAGAATGGGAATCAGTTAAAACAAAGAACGCGAGGCTGCTCTGTACGGTAACTCTTCTTTTTCGAGGACTACCATACAGGAGGTTATCACCGCAACAGAGACCTCCGGAATACGTAATTTTTAGATGAGTTTAAAAAGTTGGGTCACGGGTGCTGTTGAGAAACAGATGGAATAAATAAAGCTTCTTTAAACCAGAAGGCACTTTTTTTCTGTTATGATCCAGCTAGTGATTTATATTAAGCTAGGGTTTGTAATTAAATGTAGAGTAGTAACAACTATAACTCAAAAAATTACTCTGTTATTTCTTAACTCAGCTTAACGCGTTATACCACAGATGATTGTGAACACATCCATATACTGTTCAATATTATACGCACACATACATTCATATATATTTCCGATGGTTAGTCTGCATATTATCCCATCAAATCATTCACAAAAACTTACAGAGCTTAAGCAAAATTTGCATTTCATGGTAAACACCACACAAACACCGTCCACATGTTTGCGTATAACTGTACTTAGTTTTCATTGGACAAATGCAATTAGTCATCTCACCATGCTATTGCGAAGCGTCAATCATTTTCGAAACCAACAGAAAATATTGCAATTGTTGTAAATGCAAATATGAAAAGGCTTGTTAGTAAACACACACAGAAACACTCCGAAAAAGTTACTCAGTTACGCATACATACAACCACAACTAATTCTCGTTATGTTAAAATTTTCTCATTCACAGTGTCCGAGTACTGCCGCAACAGCGGCGCCACCAGCGCGTCCCAACGACGACGTGCCATGTCGACGAAAAACTGGATGGAAGCACACGAACTTCGGCCACTCAAATAATCAATCAGCTGTGCGCCTGGTTGTTGTCGAATCGCACTCATTTTTTTGTCGTAATATTTTATACGTTCGACGTGTAAATAAAACTGAATTTAAATTGCAAACTTTTTTGCGAATGTGCAATTGTTGCTTGGAAATCGCACGAAGTAGTGAGAGTAAACAAATATTTTTTTTATCAAATACTACAAGCATAACTGTATATTTAACACACATCTAGCATATTACTTCAAGCTGTCATTAACTGTCAGTTGTGGCATAATTTGTAAGGTATTTGTAATTTATAGAATAAAATGTTTGAGCACAGCTGGTAACTTTAAATTTTAAATTAAAAATAAGGATTTTGTAAGAACATCGACTTTTTAATGGTTGAGTAACTGTTTAAGAGGTTATAAACACATGTGAATTGCCAAAAAACTATTTTTTCTGTTTTGCATTATATTGCATGTACATTTATTTGATAATTTTCTCGGAAAATTTTAAGTTAATATGGCAATTATTTCGAAGATATATATAGAAGGAATTTTTTAAATTGTGTTCAGCATTGTAATCGGCTCCGAAAACTTTAAACGAGTTTTACTCGACACTCTGTTTTCAGAGTCGATGAGAAAATTTTCGCCGAGACGGCTGAATCGATCTACTTGAAACGACCGGGTTAGATAGTTTGTCAGGTACTGATCTAAGGTATACGATTTTCGTTGATAATTTCGACTTTTTAAGCTACTCGGCAGCGAAAAATTTTGAAATCATCTTGTCACTTTCTTCTCTATTGCCTGGCTTTTGCCAGACTGAGATTGAAATATCTTGATAGACACATCTTTGGAGCAAGTAGCGAAGTGACTGGGATTGATATTAACCGCCTTAATAAATTTTTGGTTAACTCAAAGCGCTGTGTCGATCTATGCGGTGATACGCTTTAAGAAGCTTTTAGGTAACACAAACGACAAATATTTGTCCAAGTGCGATCCAACGATTTTGAATAAATCCTACGACCTCTAACCTACCCCAAGACTTGCCTATAAGTAACTTTCTAAATACTCAAACTCATACTGTTGTCGAGTTAAAATGTAAATCTAAAGCAAATGGAAAAACAAAGGAATCAATATGACTTAATTTTCATCTGAGGATTTCATACAGTATTGTGAGTCTTAATGCTCATCCCTAAATAGGAGCAAAACCGTCCAAAGACTGCCAAAAATCCTAATTTCTATGAAAATTGGTGAAGCCAGTTAAATAAAAAATTCCGGAATAACGCGACGCTTCTGCTAAGAAATTTGACCTTTTGATTTTAGGAGAACTTAGAACTTAGCGGCTGAGAGCAGAAAAGCGAATAGAAAAGAAGATAAAGATGAGAAAAAAAATTTAAATATGCTATTTTAACAGCTTCAATAATTATCCTTCATTAAGTCATATATTATATAACATGAACTTCTATAAAATTAGAAAACGTCAGAAGATAGGGCGCACGTTATAGCACCTAAATTTGGGGACGGCAAATTACAGATTTATAAAGCTATCGAGTTGAGCATCATAAATTTCTCTAAGGAATTCAGAATCACATTTTCATGTTAAATATATATTATATAAATATCTATGTTATATATACGTACATTAATTTATAAATTTAAATTTCTCTCGTTAATTTATCACAAGGTTCTTTTGAGTGATATTTTAGTAAAGTGAGTAATTTTAATAGTGTCCAGCAACTCTCTCCCACCGGGAGATATAAAATGCATGATTAGTCCATCTAAAGCTTATTAGTTATTTGCAATTACATATAATTTCAATATATGAAGGGTAGAGCGATAGGGTAGAGCGAAAAAAAAATTTTTTTTTTGGCCAAAAAAATGTTTAACTCGTAAATTTCGAATTCGAATTTTTCTTTTAAAAGTGAAAAAATATTTTTTTTCCCAAAAATTTTCTATTTTTATAATCTACAAATAATTCCCTCGGCTTAGCAATACAAAAAAAAAATATTCGCTTCACCCTAATGTACGTAGCGCTCCGTTTAATTTAATATTTATTTTAGTCAACGTTGGAGTGCAGCCGGTCATTAATTTCCAATATGTGATTAGCTAACAGTTTGATTATGAAACAACATTTATGCAGATACATATGTGTATATGTATAAGTGCATATGTAAATGCACATAAAGGATAATTGTATAATTACGCAGCTTAAATTTATCTAGACAGCATTAGCTTTGTGCATAATATATTGTTTGTATTAAATGGCTAGGCACTAATGACAGCATAAGTATATATCATATATAATATATCAGTAAATAAATAGCTTTTGTTATTGTTGTAAAAATGTGCAAATATTTTAATGATTAAGGTTCACAAGGCAAATTATAAAAACAAAATAACGGTATGAAAATAAAATATATCTGTGTAAAAATTAAATTATTTAAGCTAGATTCGCATGATAGAAAATCTCATGAGAGATTTGCTTTTGATTGGTGATCAGAACTTTATTTTCAGAAATGCTAAAAATGTATCAATTAGAAAAGCAAAGTGGCGTAAAAATTGTTATTGTAAAATAAAATACAAAAAAAAAATATATATATATACCTATATAAAATATCACTCCCAATTTAATGTTTGATATGTTGAGACATATGAAATATGTAATTTGGTTAAGCTGTTATATTTAGTTTGTATTTAACTATGTAATATTAGCGCGTCCGTTATTTTCCAAGTTGCTTTTTTTTACTGACGACACCTGAAGTTTCACTTGTTGCCCTAAAAAAAATTAGTCAAAATAAACAAGCTCTTTATATGTTATATATAACATGCGATTGTTTTATATTATTGTATTAAGCAGGTGAAACGACAACTTTGAAAAGGTGATAGATAATCTAATACAAAATTTTACGCTCTACAAAAACAAGGTTTTAATAATTTTTCCCATAAAATCGTTGCTTTAAAAGTAATACGCAGTTGAAGTTATATATAAAATGACCGGAGCATTTATACAAGTGAATTATAAATACTGTGTTACTCATACGACATGGTGTACTGTATGAATACAGTGTGTACATTTGATGCATAACTTTGATTGCGCATAACTTTTAAAGCACGTTTTTATAGAAAAATAATAATTAAGTAATCAATCGGACGGGCGACCAAACTTTGGGATAAAACTCAAATTTAAAAAAACAACGCCACCATTTTGTCCGTTTTTCATCTTATTTTTGATTGGGTTTGTTTTATTTTTAGGTTTCATCCACGGAGAAGGCCAGTGTAGCACCTTTTTTTAGTGCAGTAAAAAATTTCACTGTATATTCTTGAAACATGTATAAATATAGCCTCTTTTAAGGCAAAACCTAAAACTTCAGGGGGAGTATGAAAAACAAAAACAACTTGGGATTGGCAGACGTGATAGATTTCTAAAATGTGTGTAAAAATATTTTTCATCATTTCAAATAAAGTATGTTATTAAGAAATACCACAACAATATATATAACTTTTTTTTCAACTATTTCACCCATGAATTGTTACAAAATATATCAAAAATATATTTGTAAGCATATAGCTACATTTATTTGATTTTTTTTTTTACTCTTGCAATATGTTACTACAGAGTACATTTAACAGCTATGTTCACCTAACGGTAGTTTGTATCACTTGAAGGTCTAAAAATTGTCAAAATCGGACCATAACTATTCAAGCCCCCAGATACCGGCATTGTGGACCCCAGAGCCTGTGGCTGACTTTTTGTCGAAAATATTGGTCAATCTGTGAGAATATTTATATAAAATATTATATTTATATATGTTATATTTATATATAATATAAAATTGCTTGAAAATAAGTTCTCAAGTATGCCTGAGCAATGTCAGCACTTCCATTTATATGCCCCCAATAATTTTAGTATAATTTTCGCTGACGGGAAATAATATATAGTAATAAAACTTAATGGGTTTATGACCTTCAAAATAAGTTAAGATTTCAAAATAATTGTAATCCTATTCAACATTTCGTCGAACAATGAAGTTGAACCTTTTCGCTACATTTCTTAATATAAAGTTTTGCCAACACCTAAAGGTATTTCCCGGGTTCTGATCCTTGTAAGTTGCAAAAGTATGAAATTTTCGGTTACACCCGAACTTAGTTCTTCTTCACTTGTTTTTATTTATTGCAAGTATGAACACGTGTTCAACAACCAGATGGGTTGCTTGCAATGATTTCTGCAAATTCATTAAAAATTATATTCAACTTTAATATCCATATATTGCCAAGCCTTTTATGTTTTCAGGTGCAAACAATATTTTTTTTTTTTACAAAAATCATGTAGTGATAAAAAAAATAAATATTTATATAAGCGACCAAATGAGTTTTTGGAAACTTTGAATTTCAGTGATGGTTTTACCACGTCGTGATTTAAGCGGGAAAGCTGCTATCATTTGTAAAGCTTTTAGTTGGAAATTATGCAACGTTGAAAAACATACATACATACATATGTACACAAAATACATTTCTTCTAAATTTGTATTGTAATTTAATTCAATTGTAGTGTTTATCGTGTATTATATCCCAAAAATGTGCAGTTAAAAAAACGTTGCCTACATTTCGGAGCGGAAAGCAAAAATATGAGCGCAGCGACGTAAAAACTGAAGCAGGAAAAAACACTATTACAGCAACAACATTTAAATCGAATCGAATTCACTCAACTACACTCAGGAACGGAAGGATTCATACATTAATATATAAATTCAGAAATTTTAGAATTATTACTATAAATAATGGTCGTTTGTGATTAGTTTCTCTGCTTGTTGAGTTTGAGCTCTGCTCGCTTGATGAAAAATTAGCATGTGGAAGCAAAACGCTTATCTAATTGCATTAATTACTGGAAAGAGTGTGTACGAAGTGTGTTAAAAAAATAACGGGAATTTTCGTTTTATTAAAAAATGATTTATTCAATCGTCTACATTAATGTTGTCGCTTACAAAATAGTCCTCATTCGATATTATGCACTTATGTGAGCGCTTCTTCCAACCGTCGAAACACTTTTCAAACACGATTTTTGGGATAGCCCTTAGCTCTTTCAGCGATTTTTATCTATGTTATCTTGTAAAACGACCGCCCTTTAAGGTTCTATTTATTTTTGGAAGTGGTAAAAAGTCACACGAAGCCATGTCCAGCGAATATGGAGGCTGTGGCATCGTAACAGTATTGTTTTTGGCCAAGAATAAACGAACAAACAACAAAGTGGGAGCTTTTAACAAACGAAAATCGCAAAGCTCTTAGAAATACGTCTAGTCTAAGCACGTTGAAGGTTACTGCTTGCTGCTTGAACGCCACAAAAATAAGTCGCTTTTGCATTGGATTGTGACTGGTAGTGACAAATAGATTCATTACGATAACCCGTAAGGCAAAAAATCATATGTGAAACCTGGTCAACGAGACAAATTAAGGGCAAAGCTGCATATCTATGACGCCAAGGCAATGCTCTGTATTTGTGCGATCAGATAGGACTGTATGTTGAGCTTCTAAAACCGGGTGAAGCCCATAACGTGGAACACTATAAATGACAACCCATCAAATTGCAGCGATCGATTGCCGAAAAAGATACGAGGCATAATTTTGCAACGCTCGGCCTCATGTTGCAAAACCGGTTAAAAATTATTTGGAAAACAGTGGCGGTCGATACAGAACGTTCTCACTGGAATACGGTCTACATTAGAAGATGCAATAGTATCAAAAATTGGGTTGATTCATTCTTTGCCGCCAAGTCGGCGCAGTTCTTTTGGAATGGAAACCACAAATTGGCAGAGAGATGGGAAAATGTTCACCTGTGCTGCAAAGATTGATTTAGGGTACAATTCGTTAATGGAAGTAATATTTTTGAGTTGAAAAACGGAAAAGATAAAAGACTAGTCTTAGAGTTAGTGCGTAATATACTTGTATATGTGAGTGACAGTTGATCAGAATAGTCTTTTTTTACACCTGAGAGATTGAATTGCTGAACTCTGGGCAAATACTGTCAAAATATTGCTTTTTCGTTTCCATCAAAGAGAAAATTATGGAAAGCTAGAAAAAAAACATTATTTATATAGTTTGCCAATATTTTTTTTCTCCTAACTTTCCTTCATTTATGAGCTCTTGAATGTGCAGAAAAGTAGAAAACAACTGGAATATAAAAATTAGCTGAGTCATAAAAACTTAAAATCAAAGCAAAGCAATATTTCTAAAAATTAGACAAGCATGTGACAGAATAATTTACGCAATATGATCACCGTTAGACATATACCCGGACTGTGCACACAAGAGTGTGTAAATATGCACATATGTATACCACCGCCATGTGCAAACAAGTTATTATTAGCTGTTAATTTTATAAAGTGATGAAATTTGATAATGCCACCGACAATGTACACACATTTTCGCTATAGATGACAGTTCGAAGATAAAAAGATTATGATTATAAAGTACTTAAGTTCGTTCAATATTTGCCAAAAAAAAAAACGCTAAAAAAACACTAATAAAAGCGAAACTCTAAGCGCCGGAAAACTTGTGTACGCAGCGAAAGAAAGAAATCTCATTGCATAGCAGACATTGATTTTGTTGAAAAGCGTTTCTTCTTTCTAGTTTCTTCATACTACGACATGGATATTATATATTATTTAGTTGCGTGTTGGCTGCTGGAAGACACCTTAAAAAGACAGTACTTAGAATCTTAAACACACATATCTACACAAGGCTGTGGCTATGTTTGCCTTCATACATAGCTGCTTGGCTTCGAGTACTTTTTATCTCTTTTATGTGAGCAATTTCCGGCGAAATACACTCAAAGAGATTCGAATAACCGTAACACTTGTAAGTAAAGTACATATGTCTAGGTATATGTGTAAGTGGTTTGGTTAGCAACAAGAATAATGAACTTGTTGAATGGCTGAAGATTAGCGAATTCCTCGCATGTACTATTAATTGGACAAACGTATCTTGGGAATTGACAAAAGTTAATGCTTAATTAAAAAAACTTGTAGCAACTTTTTCATATAAAAAAAAAAGTGTATATATAATAAATTTGTCACCACATGTAAGTATGGTGTATTCATTAAAGTAAGTCTTCTGCTAGAACAATTATGTGTAAGCTAAATCAATAAGATAAATTAGTTGATTTTTGTCCAATAAAGGGTGATCCATTTCGGGGTTCTCGATTTAAAAAAATTGGGGAATTTTTATTAACATTCGAAAGAATATTATTTGGCTTTTATTTTTTGAAGATTATGTTTTCCAAATGTTGGCCGTGGAGTCTAATTTTCGATTACTCGTTCGAGCATTTCGACTGAATCGAAGCGGGATTGTCCGCATAGACTTTTTCTCAATAAATCCATTGGTTGATGCGGTACGACAATTTTGCTTGTTTACATACTTATTGAGTCAGAAATGGGACTCATCGCTGAACAAAATTTGGCTCGGAAACGTCGGATCTGCTTGAAACTGTTCAAGAGCCCATAAAGCGAAGCGCTGGGGCTTGGGAACGTCGAGCGGCTTCAGTTCTTGCACAAGCTCTATTTTGTACGCGTTCAATTTAAGTTAAGTTCAACGTAAAATCCGCCAAGTCGCTCCATACGTCAGTCCGAGTTGCTGCGAACGGCGGCGAAGCGACTCTCCATGGTCTTCGTATACACTCTCAGCTACGGCCGCTATATTTTCTTCACTGCGTGCTGGACGTGGACGTCGAATATTATCCAATAATGCCGGGGCTTAAGATGGGTGATGGTGTTGCGAATAGTACGCTCATTTGCCTGATTATGTTGACCATAAGTTGAGCGAAGCGCGCGAAACACATTCTTTACAGAATTTTTGTAATAAAGTTCAACGATTTGTAAACGTTGTTCAGGCGCAAGTCTTTCCATGATTCCAACAATACTGAACAAAAATAACATGACAGCTTGACACGACTAACGCGTGATCTGTCAAAAAAAAAGCTGTTAAAAAAAGTACCCCTACTTGGATCACCCGTTATAATACTTTGTTTTCTTCAATGAAGGGCTTGTTATAACAGTATTTTTATATGAAATGGTATGACCTATCGATCGAAACGGTCTGAAATATTTCATTTAAAGAAGTCGTCAATAAAACTGTAACTTTTTGACATCAATTCAACTAGCTGAATATCGTGTTGGCCTACACCTCTAAATGTGTCGTAAGAGTTCATGACCAAATAACAGTACGTACTAAAACATAACATATTTATACGCTGGAGAGGGTATATTAAGTTTTCCACGAATTTTGTAACACACAACAGGAAACTTTGAAGAGTCTATAAAGTATATATGGTAAGTATACATACATAAATGATGAGCTGAGTCGTTTTAGGTCGTACCAGTCCGTTGGTTTTTGAGATATCATTCCGAAATTTTGTACACGTTTTTTTCTCACCAAAAAGCTGCTCATTTCTAGAAATCGCCGATATCGGACCACTATTTCATATAGCTGCCATACAATCT